CCAGTCATCCCAGTCGTCGCTGCTCGCCGGCATCAACTGCGACGCCGGCGGCCTCAGCAGCCTCAAGGACGAGTTCTGCCCGTTCAGCTGGGAGATGCGGGCCGACGGCGAGGAGTGGTCCGAGTTCTCGGAGGAGGCGGAGAGCGGCTTCATGAAGACGCTGGGCTACGTGGCCCAGGACGACGGCGCGAGGGGGCTCGACGGCGACGACGACGACGGCGAGGGCCTCACGGAGGAGGAGATCCGGCTCGCCAAGCAGCAGATCGAGCGGGCCACGCTCCAGCAGCTGCTCGAGAAGAAGAAGCAGGGCCTCAGCGAGTCACTCAAGAACTGGCAGCCGCCCCACATCCCCGGCAGCGGCAGCGGTAGCCCGGCCGCCGCCGCCGCCGCACCGTCAGCAGGAAGTGCTCTTGCTTCATCATCACCGTCGTCGTCTTCTTCATCATCGCCTTCGTCGTCGTCGTCGACGTCGCCCACGCTGCTGCGCCATCACCCGCGACCAGCGGCGTCGCTCTCGGCCTCGTCGGCGGGCGGTGGTCGTCGTGGACACCACCAGCCGTTGCGCTCGTCGTCGGGTCCGACGCCGTCATCGTCAACATCATCGTCTTCATCATCGCACGGGCGACGAAATCATCAGCACAGCCACAGTCAACAGCAGCAGCTGCAGCAGGACCTGCTCGCCCTGGTGGATTCCGACAGCGACGAGTCCGACTGCGAGGAGGTGCACGGCTTCCACGGCATCGTCTTCGGCTGAATGAAGTGGGCACTTGCCGACGTGCAACATGAGCAAGCAGTGAAAAAACAAGGAGTCAGTGTTGTTCTTTTTATTTGTTCTTTTGGTTTTCAGGTTTAGCATTACATTGGGAGAGAAGAAAGAATGAGAAGAATGCGGAGCCAGAACTGTAAGCTGGGGTGAGCGTTGCATCCCATTCTTGTGATGTTCCATCTGTCCCAATAAAACTGACTGTACCCAGTTGTAAATTTTTTTTTGGGCAGGCAACTGAGGAGGACAGTAAACAACATTTGTGCATGGTTGTGTAGTGGTGAAGGTTGAAGCCTGTTTAATGCAACAATTGTGTACTCCAACTGCTAGCCAGAACATACAGGTATGTTGATCCTCACCATCAGCAAAGGGACCCTTGAGGGCTTCACAGGTCTCCTTCATGTGTGAGAACAGGCCTTCCACATGAGCATGGGTGGTGTGGATGAGCTTGTTGTCTTGCTTTTCTTGCTCAGTGAGCTGTTGAGCACCTTCCATGGTGTCTGGATTGCCAGCACACTGAGTGGTTGGGACAATGAATTTGATGCCATTGAGAGTATTTCCCCATGAGAAGTGGCCATTTAAAGATATAGAGGAGTCAGTTTCAATGGTGTCTCACTGGGCCTTGAGGAACTGGGAGTTGTGGATCTTGGGAGTAGCCACCCCAGGCCTTGATCTTGATCTTTCCTGATGCATCTTGCAACTAAAAGTCGACCATCAGTTTTATTGCGACGGACGGAACGATGGTGGCAAATGGAGGTTGGTGATCATGAATAAATGCTCTGGTGTATTGTGCTCGAACAAGAGAGAACACAGTGATGGTAACAAAAAAGAAATACAAAGACTTGGAGAAGAGAGAGACCCGGCGTGGTTGTACAGCCTCTACTGCACAATGAACCTGACTGTAGATCGGAACAAGCAAGGCAAAGGTCAGACAGAACACACATGTGTCGTGCTGTGTGCGTGTGCGTGTGTGCGTGCGTGTGCGGTGGTGCGCGTATGTGACAAATGGGAGGGGTCCGTACAGGAAGTGACCATGTTGTCGAAGCCCGGGGGCATGGTGAAGCTGTACTGCTGGCGCACCTGGGTGGAGGCGCCCGTGCAGTCGATGTCCTGGAAGAGCTCCAGGCCCACCACGTTGGGGGCTCGAACACCGGCGATGATCGAAAACGAAGACGCCGCGTCGTTGATGGGCAGCACGTTGTAGCACTGGGCCGTGCCGTAGGTGGCCGCGATGATCAGGCACTCGCCCGCAGCATTGGGCTCCTGTCGATTAATACAAATAAATAAATAAAAACAGAACAAAGCAATCAATAAATAAATTAATAAACAAATAAAATAAAAGTTGATAAGGAGAATGAAGGTACCGTGCAGAGGGTGGCGCGGGGATAGATCTTGTTGATGACCTCGAAGGGCCACATGCACGTGAAGGAGGGGACGCTGGCCTTGATGCTCTGCGAGGCGCAGTCGGAGATGAACGCGGTCGGGCTCAGGAAGTTGTCTGTGTGCGTGTGCGTGTGCGGTGGTGCGTGTGCATGTGCGGTGGTGCGTGCGTGTGCGCGTGCGTGTGCGTGTGTCCAAACAACCAAAAATCAATGAGCACATGTCGACAATTTGTGTAGTGGCTGACGCAAGACCATTGTGGAGCGTACAGGCGGGGGTCTTGTCAGAGCGGAGGATGCGATCGTAGGCGCGGTCCTCGTTGATGGAGCACGTGTAGCCCTTCTCGGCCGGATAGGCGTCGGGGTGGTTGCCGCCCAGGTTGTGGCCAATCTCCTGTTTTTGCGTAATATATTAAATATAGTAACATTCATAATCAATAAATATAAATATTAATGGAGTATGGGTCGTACGTGGATGGCGCGACGGATCACGAGCTCGGGGTCCTCGTTGGCCTGGCCGTCTACGGAGAACGCGGGTCCAGTACCACAAGCCGAACCGATCTGCACCCAAGTGTGTGGAATGTGAGCCGAATTCCATAATGGTTGCATGTGAACTCATAATATAAATGAATAAATATAGTTACATAAATGAATAGGTGCTGTTATTAAATAGATAAATAGATAAATAGATAAATAGATAAATAGATAAATAGATAAATAGATAAATAGATAAATAGATAAATAGATAAATAGATAAATAGATAAATAGATAAATAGATAAATAGATAAATAGATAAATAGATAAATAGATAAATAGATAAATAGATAAATAGATAAATAGATAAATAGATAAATAGATAGTAACGTACCCAGCCGAGACCGCCGACGCCGGCGGGCTGGCGGCCGGTGAGAAGGTGGTAGAGGCAGGCGTCGGTCGGGTTGCCGAACCGGCCCTGCTGGAGGGCGGCCTCGAAGTCGTCGAGCAGCTGGCCGCCGTCCTGGGCGTCGGTGAACGAGCCCGTGGCCTCGACGTAGACGTGGTCGAAGTTGATGCGGATGCCGAAGGCGGTCTCGTAGTAGGTGCTCACGTCCTCGAAGTAGGGCAGGTACTTGGCCTTGATCTGCTCGGCCGACAGCTGCGGCAGGTTGCGCACGATGTAGTTGTCGATCACCAGCACCGCGCTACACACTACCACCACAATTCGAAACACGTCAACAACACATGCACACACGCACACATGCACATACAACACACACGACACGACACGACACGACACGACACGACACGACACGACACGACACGACACGATACGACACGACACGACACACGTGATTTTGGGTGGGTACCTGCGCCGAGGGGCGCGGGCGAGGCCGAGGGCGACGGGTTGGAGGGCTGCGACGAGGGCGAGGCCGAGGGCAACGGGGCCGCAGGCGAGGCCGAAGCCGACGGGGCAACAACGGGCGAAGCCGAGGGCGAGCTGCCGCCGCCGGAGCAGGACCAGCTCGAGAGGTCGAAGGGCGCGGGCTGGGCCGATCGGATGGTGTAGCCGAACCGGTGGGTCTGGCCGGCCGGCACGCCACCGTTCTGCAGGCGCCACGCGGGGAGGGTGTAGAGCGGGACGCCGGCCACAGGCTGGACCATCTCCCAGACCTGGTCGATCTGGGCGCCGGTGGCGGCGTCGAGCGAGAGGGTAACGGAGGTGAGCGGGGCCGACTGGGCGGTGATGAAGGCGTCCCAGACCGAGTACTGGACGCCCGAGCCGTCGGTCCAGCTCGTCTGCTTGGTCTGCGTGATCAGCGGCTTGCATTCTAAGAAGACCATGTGGATGATATTTCAATCGTCAGGTCATCAACACTCACTCGCAACTAGTTACATCGTATGAACTCGTGTGAAAAAAAAGTCGAACCTCCAGCACCACAATCGTCGTCAGCCCTCCCATTGAGTGTTGTTGCTAACAAGAAAAGATGTGGTTGTGACCCAGGTGAGAAAGAAGAAGAGAATTCCACCAGTGCAAGAGCGCAGTGTGGTTGCATGCAAGGTTAGGGTTTACCTTGGGCAAGCACAAGGCAGCTGGCAAAGGCCAGCAGAAGCACGAGGCACAGGTGAAAGTGCATGATAGGGTTGATGAGCTCCTTCTACTCTTTGTGGTGAGCTCACTTGATGTTGATAGTGTTGGGTGTCTGAGGTTGAAGTGGTGAAACACAGGACATGACCCAGAGGCCTTTATACTTGTCCACCCCCACTCGCCATACAGTACTCCAGGGGCCATGATATCCTTGAAAAGCTGATGAAAGGCCGAACCCATATGAGAGCGGTGATGTGGGCGAGCGTTGATTGGCCCAAATTGTTGTGTTGCTTGCAAGCATGTTGAACGCAGCGAACCTGCATTGTTACGATCACAGTGAACAAATAATGGGGGGCGAAAGCAGAGGTAGAACTTGAGTTTCCATCGAATTCGCCCCAATGGCGTTGGATTAATAGTCTGACCTACCAACCACCAACCGTCAGATGCAACCATGTGCTCGCACAACCAAGTGCGGAGCCACACAGTTTGGGCTTTGTGTGGCCTCTTCTTGACAGAAAGCAAAAAAGAAAATAAAAGTGGAAGAGAAAAAGAAGAAATCGTGTTTTATTTTTATTTTTATTTTATTTCAATGGCGACGAAAGACATGTCCGAGGCGGAGGCGGCCTTCCACGCCCACTTCCTGGGGCTGGCCATCGAAGAAGCCCGGGCCGGACTGTCCGAGGGCGGCATCCCTATCGGCAGCGTGCTAATCCGCCGCCGCGCGGAAAAAGGCGGAGATGAAGATCAGGCCTGGTCGATCGATGGCCACGAGGTCGTCGGCCGCGGCCACAACAGGCGAGTCCAGCGACGTAGCGCCACCCTGCATGCCGAGATGGATTGCTTTGAGGCGGCCGGGCGGCTCACGGCCGCCGACTACGCGCGATGCATCCTCTACTCGACCCTCTCGCCCTGCGAGATGTGCTCGGGGGCGCTGCTGCTCTACAAGATTCCCACCGTCGTCATGGGCGAGAACGCCACCTTCCAGGGACCCGAGGCCTACGTGCGCTCGCACGGCGTGCGACTACTCAACCTGGACTCGACCGAGTGTCGTCGCCTCATGACCGACTTCATCGCCGCCCACCCCACCCTCTGGAACGAAGACATCGGCGTATGAACAAGACAAGACATGTTTTCACATTTGACACAACATGTTTGTTGGTAAATGTTCGCATGTGTGCAACATGCATGTTGTCCGTGTATACAATGGCATGGGCAGGGGCCATCATGTCCTGTTGTTCTCGCGCCAGAAGAGGATCTTCTTCTTGACCCGGTTCTTGATGGTGGCCTCCTGCCTGCTCTTCGGCGTGTTCCAGGCCGGGTGGAGCGCGCGCCATCTGATGATGATTGAAGTTACAGGTCAGCTGAAGAAGAAGAAGAAGAAGGTGGCGGCTGGAGCATGGTATACCGATTGATCATTCGCACGATGAGCTCAAAGGCGTCGTTCACATTCTGCCCAGTCTTGGCAGAGCATTCCAGCCACCCGCAGTTGAGCTTTTCGGCGAGGAAGAGGGCCTCGTCCTGGCTCACTTGGCGCTGGCTCTCCCGGTCAGCGTGCGAGCCCAGGAAGACGATCGGCACGGTCGAATCCTGATTCCGCGCAAGAAGAGGTCGCACGTGGACGTGAGTTTGTGTCGTGTGTCGCGTGTGTGCGCTGTGTGTTGCCTATGAACTGTAGTAGTCGATGTGTGTTGTGTGTCGTGTGTGTGTTGTGTGTGTACGTGTGTAGTGCGTGTGCGGTGGTGCGTGTGCGTCCCGCACCTCTTTGATTCGCAGGATCTGAAGACGCAGCTTCTCCAGGGCTTGGAAGGACTCCGGCGATGTTACACTGTTGATCGGGAGATAGAGTGGTGAGTGAGTGAGTGCGTGTGCTTCGG